ACAAAGGGTCATCCAGGGAAGCTACTGTGAGCCCGGAAACAAAGAAAAGGAGGTGGTTCTTCATGCAGAGGGCCTACTGATCTGTGAAAACTCCTCAGCAGAGCATGTTTTGTGTGCAAGAAGTTTAACTGGTTGGAAGGAAGAGTTGGTCAGCACTCACAAGGATAGTTACTAAATAAGCAAATTTCAACAGATTCAGGAAATCCCCTGTGCCGAAAGTGGTCAGAGGTTAGGAAAAATTAGGGAGAGGCATTGAATTTGCTTGCCCTGATCACAGGCAGTTTCCTGGGCAACTGCCTGTGACCACTGCTGGAGACTGAATACTGGTTAGATGGACTTGAGGTCTGAGTCAGTACAGCCATACTTGTATTTGGGTAGCAGCAATCACTAGCATGTGCTAGAGGTTTCCCACTTTTTGTTTCAGATACTACAGTAACATAAAGGTAGTAGGTTTTTAGCATTTATAATGAATTTATTCTTTTTTTAAGGGTCTGACAAATGGACACATCAAGAAAGGAGGCTGTTCAAAGAGGCACTGTCCACCTACAGCAAAGATTTCATATTTGTACAGAAAATGGTAAAGTTATTTCTGTTCTGTTAATCTCTTTTTCTCCATTCCCCATCATCTTCCCTCCAGTGCCAGATCAGCTTATTGCAGGTATAGAGCCAGCAGTGGTTACAAGAACACCGATAGGAGTGGTAATAAATAAAATCAGTTCCTCTTAGTATTATAAAATGTAGAACTTTTCACACCTGGAATCTAAGTCATGTCATTCCATGTGTGGTACGATACCCTGCTATCCTCTGGTTGTTCTCTGGCAGTTTGTTAAAAGGTACCTGAGTCACTAGCGTTGAGTCTTGTGCCAGAAAGTGTTGAAACCTGTTAATAAAGACAGAACATGTTTGGGCCTAATTTTCATGTTTTGTATGCACCTTGTCTTTTCTGCTTTGTAGCATCTCAGGGCAGAATACCTTAGCTCAAATGTTGAAAAACATCTGGGTTTATGGGAACCAAATCTTAATTCCTAGATCTCTTGGTGGTATCGTACACTTGAGCTACAAAAGTATTTTCTCAGTCATTTTCTGACTAGACTCTAGAGAGTCCCAGAGAATTGTACTGAAGCTGATATAGTCAACACAGATTTGACTAAAACACAATAACTAAAACCCCTCAATTTTACAAAAGCATTTCTGTCGTAGTCTTTCTGTCTTTCTTTTCCTCCATCTGAATGTTTGAGAAATAAAGCCTGCCTCTTGGAATGTATTAAAATTATGTTGAATGAAAGCAAAAAAATTGAGATTGGACTATTTCTGCAATTACTTAACTACAGGTTAAGTCTAAGACGGTTGCACAATGTGTGGAATACTACTATACCTGGAAGAAAATCTTGCGTTTGGGACGGAAACACAGAACACGTTTAGAGAAAAAAAGAGAGGAATGCCTGGTAAGTCTAAAGGAATATGAGAAAGTTTAACACTATAATTTTTATTTTTGTCCTGTTTTGAGGAGGAGGTTGAACTAGATGACATAGGTCTCTTCCAACCAAAATCATTCCGTAACTAAATTATATTCTGGATGAGCATTCTGTGACCTCAGCTACACCAAGATTTTGTGTTCCTGGATTGTAATGGAATAAAAGTGTTTTGATTAGTGCGTTGTCTAAGTCTAACCATAGTCTGGCTTTTGCTACTAATGAAGCAGGTAAATGTCTGAAAATTATGCCTGTGCCTGTGTGTTCCTAAAGGCTGCTCTAATATTTTAGTACAAATACAATTTACATAGACTGGCAATGCAGTTCTTTGTGTGCAAGGTCTGTATTACCAGTAGTCCGAGTAGTCTTAGGACATGTGGGCATTTTTTGTTTTTTTGTTTGTTTGGGTTTTTTTAAATAAGTCATTTAATTTGACTGTGAATAGAGTGTACATCGCTATTCTAACAGCTGGGGAAGAGTATTGCACCTTGCCATCTGTAGATTCTTGGAGCCACAGCTCTGCAATACAGAGCGGGGGTTGTTTTGAGCTCTGCAGTGAAGCTTTAGCTTTTTTTATTAAGGCATAGTAGTTCCAGCAAGACCCAGAAGTTCATTCAGGATGGGGGAAAAATACTGAAACCTGGAAGCAGACTTGACTAAGTGGCATGCTGTTCCAGTACTGTCTATGTCCTGCTATCCAGTACTGACTGTCTTTGACCATATTTCTAGTATGTCTTAAATGTTCTATTTCAGACAAGTGGAGAAGAGGAAGTGTTAGAAGAAGATGAGGAGATTGAAGAAGACAGAAAGGAAGAAAGGGAAATGCAGAAGTCTCCTGACCCACCAGCTATCCCCCTTGTTGGACCTATAGATCTGCCTGCTCTTCAGAGTCTTTCACTTTCTTCGTCCTCCTTCATTTGTGAAATGCCAAACTGTGGCGCTGTATGTGTGTGTTTGGTATCTTTAATAGCAAGGGGGGGGTTGTATGCTAGTGAGTCGTGATTTTGGAAGTCAGGGTTTTAGGCTATTCCTGGCTTGTGATATCTCCTAGATATCTAGTGATATCTGCTAGATATCTTTGGACAAATTACTTTCCTTGCCACCTCTCAAAGGTGAGGTTTTGTTGCCACCTCACAAAACACAGGCAATATGCTGATCTATATGTAAAACCGAATTCTGAAATGTTGTATCAATTAGAAATACTATATGGTAACAGCTTTGGTTACCTTTTTGTTATACAACTATAGTAACAGGCTAGCTCACAGGTTTGTTTTATTATGACTAAGTTTCTTTGACGCTAATGGGATATAACTGAGAGCAAGCAGCATTTGACCAAGTAGATTGTGCATATTAGACAGTTGTTCTGTTGTAAAACACATTCAGCATACTTCTTTCTGCAATTCCTGTTCCAGTGCAGTATTTCTTGGTTCTTATTTTTTTCCTTCCCTCCACCCCATTTCCCATCAGGTGTTCAGTTCCCGACAAGCGCTAAATGGCCATGCTCGCATTCATGGAGGTACGAATCAGGTGACAAAAACACGATGCACCATTCCAGGCACTAAGCAGAAATCTGGTACGCAGAGCGGATACTGCTCCATCAAGAGTTCACCTGCCCACAGCACAACAAGCGGCGAGACAGACCCAACAACAATTTTTCCTTGCAAGGAGTGTGGCAAGTAAGTGAATATGACTGCAGTATTGCATCACACCTGTCTATTTGTATTCCAGATGAATAGAGTTGTGGCAAACTCTTAATTTGCTCTGATGGTCTCAGAAGAGTTTTCCCTTTAGATGACATGTCCTCCTACCAGGACCTTCAGAGATTGGTTTGCATGATGTTTTGGGTATTTCCCCTGCAGTATTTATTCCAGTTTTCCCAAATCCATTTACCTGCTAGAATTCCTACATCTGACAGTCCAGCTTCCTGCTTCATCACAGACTTGCATGTGACAGTTGGCAACTTCCTCTGTTTCTGTGCTTGAGTTTGTCCATCCTAACATGGAATTCCTTCACCTTTTCCCTGTTGTGCAAGGTTGTAGTGAAACTAAGTACAGGAGAATTAGGATGTGCAGAGATACTGAAGCAACTGTGGGAGCTACAAAATACCTCTGGCAGAGTCTGAGTAGGCCATTTTGATACTGTCAGGATGTATAAATCTGTTAGTCTGTCCCTGAAATTCTCACTGTGGCATTGCAGACTTCACTGACTTCTATTTCAGGACAAGGAAGCAAATGTACTGATAGGTTGTTGAGTCTTTTTTGGCTCACTTCATCAAAAGCAATGCATTTTTATCTGATTTTTTTTTCCCTTTAAAATTTAGGGTATTTTTCAAAATCAAAAGCCGCAATGCTCATATGAAGACTCACAGACAACATGAAGAACAGCAAAGGCAGAAGGCTCAGAAAGCTGCTGTGGCAGCAGAAATGGCAGCCACCATTGCGAGAACTACTGGGCCAGTTGGACATAGTTTGATCCCTCTGGATCACATGAGTTTGGTTAAACATGTTGAAAATGTTGGTGACATTGATGACGATGTTGTTCAGGAGCTGGGTGATGTCATGGAAGAGAATGAAGTCATGGATGCTGACCTTTTATTGGATGATGAAGATGCAGATTTACTGCAGGATGATGCTGAGTTGTAAATAAAGTTGTTTGATAAAGACAGCTACTGAGCGCACCCTGAATGGATCAGTCAGGAAACCTGGACTGCTCGTTTATTCCCCACTGATTGTAAGCTACCTGTTTAAAATGATAATTCTTCTATCCAGGTCTAGAAAAAGAAAGAAATCTGCTTTTTTCCCTTTTTTTAATTAATTTGTGTTTTGGGGGAAAAAATAAATAATTGGTACAAATATTCTTATAAGGTGTTTTTATCTGAGCTCATTTTGCTGATAACTTCCAAGGCTACTAATTACAGAAGTTCATGGTTCTGCTATCACTTCCCTCCAGATGATCCTGGTAGGATCTTTAGTCTTTAACTCTTCAAAGTTTCATTTTAGCCTAATTACAAGAGTGATCTTCACACACTTCTGATGGAACTTTTTTTTTTGCCTGTACTGGATCACTTCCAGCATCTTCTAGAGACTGAATGTCATCTCTGTCAAGGAGATGATTACGTTCTTTGTCTTTGTGCTGTCATTTTAAGGGAGGTGGAGGAAAAAAAAAAAATCTGATTTAACTGTGAAATAGTTACAGGAGTGACTGTATCATCTGTAGTATTGCAGTACTTTTTCAGTTCTGTCTTGCCTTAATGCATACATGTTGGGCAGTTTGTAAAAGCATTGGTTACACTGTATGTTTTAGAGCTTCCATTTTAGCAAGGTTTTGATCTGCTGATTTTTAAATGACCTAATTCAAGGGTTGAAGAAAGGAGATGATTGTACTGTAGTTCACATCATCTGATGGGAACACTGAATCAGGAACACCACCTTGGTAATCAGATTGCACTGGAAATATATTTTGCTGTGACAATAAATCACACTGTTGAATAGCCATCTCAGTGTTTTTAGGAGAGTGTATGCTTGAGCAATGCAGGAGCTTGCTCTCCCACCAGGCAAATACAGGGAGATGTTCTTGCCCGTGGAACAGAGACTGAGGGAGTATATGCCTTCAGCACATGTTAGTTATTACTTGTAGGCGTGAAATGTTATTCTGGTGCCGTTTTCAGTCCTCCTCGTTACATCGAATTCAAATGTTATTTAGTAAAACATACTCCAAAGGTGAGTTGACATTGCTGTTAAATTACTGTTTCTCCTCCTTTAGGTTCAGATCTACATGCTGGATGTCTAACACCATTTATATAAAATTAGATTTGGTTCTCTCAATAAACAGGATCTCAAAAGAATTGACGAATTAAAGAATTAAGGATGACTTGGCATTAGGTTGAGTGGAGCTTTAATTACAGAATATGAATACTGATTTTAGAGCTTTCACAGGTAGCAGCACTGGTTTTCTTGTGAATTTTGCACAGTAGAAGAGTATTGCTAACTTTATAAAAAGTATTTTATAAGACTGATTTTAGATCTTCCAGATTTCAGAGTTGTTTGAGATTTTTTTATGGGTTGGGTTTTATTTTAGTGGGGTTTTTTTGTCATGTTCCTAACATCTTAAGCAGAATCTGAGAGATAGTGGATCTTACCTTCTACTGTCTTCCTTGTATAACTATGCAAAATGAGGGTAAATCATGGCACTTTTGTACTGGAGTACTGGACCACACAAGTTCTAAACCAGTGGGACTCATCGGCAGAGAGGTGCCTTCTCTGTCAAAGCCACGTATGTGAAGCCAAATGACCTGAACTTTTTACTTAAGGTCAAATGTTCTGATACTAAAGAACAACCCTTCAGGAGAATGGAAATTCCTTCTCAGTTTCCTATTAGTGAAGTTCCTGTGTATGTGTCTTGTTTTAGTGTTTTTTGAGGTTGTTCCAAAGGTTTTCTTAGTTGATTTTGACTAGTGGGTGGAATTTCACTCCCTCTTGCCTACATAAGGGATGATGTTCTCAATTACTGTACCTGTGAGTTTCAGGCGATCAGGCAGCAGCCACCTTTACTTTTCTTTCCCAAACTGCCAGTTGGGAGACTCCTCAGCAGTTCTTGTCCATGCTGTGACATGTTACTTTTACAGGGACCACATAAGCCGGGTTCTGAAGACTGGGTGTTTAGCTGTATGCAGCCAACTAGATCCACTGATGATGCTTGTGCAAGTCTTAGTGGTTTGCAAAGTGGAGGCTTTTGTGAGCGGTAACTTGTGTTGGATTTTAGGAGCCAGTGTTAGAAACAACCTGGCAGAGTCTAGTCTCTCTTCCACACTGGATCATTTTGAACTTTTAAGGATCTTTGGGAAGGGCTACTACACTGGTAAATAGAAACATGTTTTCAGATTCCCTTGTTAATGGTGGGGAAAAAAATGGAGTGTTTAAGCGAGGTGATAATTGAAGTCAAAGTTCTGCTGGAAGAATGGAGTGAAAGATAGTGGAAACGTGTGGGCTTGATTCTGAAGAGCAGCTTTGTGTTAAAGAATCTACAGTGGAACTTTACTAGCAACAACTGGACAGGTATCTGTGCTAAACTTAGTATATATGAATATATATACACATACATATATATGCCTGGTTCTGTAATGTAAATGGGGTGCTGTTTTATTGTACAGCCAAGAAGATAACAGAACAACCATAACCAAAGAAGTTATTCATAAAGGAAAAAAAGAAATGCACATTTAAGCAGTACACGATTAAGGCCTCGAACATTGACTTCATTATTATTATTAAGTGTTGCATTGGCTAATGTTAAACAGATGCTGTTCTGCCTATTTGTACATAAGTCGGACATAGTTTTATTTCAGAAAACTTGTTTTTTTGCTGATGGTTGATGGAAAACTGTTCACTGTTGAACTTAGTCTTCTTTGATAAAACATGTACATATAGAAAACATATTTTGAGAAAAATCTTATTTTCAATATTTAACTGTTATTTTATTAGAAGATGGTTGTAAATATTTTAGGTGCTTTAGTGTAAAAAGCAGACTGTAATTTTAGGTGGCAGAGGAAGTAACAAAATAAAAAAATATACATTTGATATAGCTTGTGATCTATGCTGGTTTCAGGTTCCTGCTGTTAGCATTTGACTTGCACGGAGCTTAATTTAAGGTTACTGCCTACCTGGATGTGTGTATTAAGATGGCTTAGTGCATGAATTAGTACTTGTTTACACACACACACCCCCCTTAAATGTTTGGTACTGATCAGAACTGGTGTTGTGACATTTAACTGCTATGTAGATGTGTAAGAAGAAAGGGGTTTATATGACACTTCCAGACATTTTTATACTTCGGTAAAATATAGTTGGCTGGGTTTTGCTAATAGGCTTGTATACCTTTTTTTTTTTAATTTATTTAAAAAAAGAAAAAAAAAAAGTATTTTTAAGGGGGAGAAGATTGAAAACTAGGTTCACGTGTAATTATTTTTCAAAGGATTTTTGAATGGTTCCAGGCAAAAAAAAAGAAATATTCCATGTAATCACCTCTATACAGTTGGGGGTGGAACAGGAGTATTCTTGGCAAGAACGAGTTGTGGTAAAAAGCGTTCTCGGAAAGGGGGAGAAAGCTGAAGAAACCTCCTTTACCTCTCACCTTCAGGGGGAAAAAAAAAAAAAAAAAA